GAAAAGCAGTCTAATTGACTTCTTTTTCTGGAAGTTATACATTTTCAGAGTGTGAACTTGAACTCCTATGGGGCTGAAGCCTTATGCTTGTTACACATTTTACTTTCATTGGAATTACCTGTTGAGCATAATTAAAATTTGATGTTGAATTTGCAGTTTAACATAATGTACTTTTGCATCAGAATTGACTGTACCCTATTTTGTTTTTTCCTTCTTTTTGTCTGTACATTTGACAGCTTTGCTGCCTTGTTTTTAAACGATGTTTATTCGAAAGAAATGGAGGCAAAGCGCTAAAAGCATTAGATGCTCTCCACAAAATTTTGTTGATAAGAAGCAGTATAAAGGAAAATGACAAGTTATCTTTAACCATAACCAGTAAGTATGCATGGTGCAGTAATATATTGAAAATAACAAGATAGTTTTAAAAATAATTGAAAAAATCATCGGCCAATTCAATTTAATTAAAGCTACCAAAAAGCTTTATAAGCAACAGTTAATGGACGAATCCAAATGGACTGACGCAAGTAAAATTGATCCACAATAGTAAAAATTATTTCAAATATGTCAGTAAAAATGGTATACTTTTCAAAATGCTATAATAAAAATATAATTCAACATAAAATTAAACAAAATAAGATCCAGCTAATGCTATAAAATTAATACTTAAACTCTAATACAAAATTAAATGATGGAATGCTTAAAAAATCCACCAAGAAATTCAACCACAAAAATTGCTTCAGTGAGCATAAATGTACTGTAAAAATGTTTACCTCTTTGGTTTAACATAATGTAAAAACTGTAAATATAATACCAACTTTAGCAATACCAACAAGTAATTTACTGTATCTATAGCAAAAACTCAATTAATGCACATGCAAATGTTAAATACCCTTTAAATTATTCCATATAATCTTGATTACTTATAACAGGAATCATGATTGCATCATAAGTAAGCGCATTACAATGGCAACTATGTTGCCTTTACTACAGGCATCTTATTTTTATCACAGCAAAAGCTGATAACCATAAGCATCTAATAAAAGCTTATCCTCAGCTTATCCTTTCAAAATTAAGTAATCACATTAACATGTCTAGTATGTCAATTTATAACTAAGTCATGCCAAAAATAATCAAATGCTGTGTTTATGAGAGGAGCAGTACAGCATATGGTAAGTAGAAATGTACATCCGCCAGTATCAATGTTTATACATCCAACTAGCTCATTAGTGTCAATAGTAAGTGTAAGTCTTGGCTATCCCAGTCATCTTACGTTTGATTATGATTACTAGTACATTCTTGGTCCCACTGTACATGTACGTGGCAAGATAGCAAATTTTACAAGTACTAATACATACTGTCAGTGAGTTGATTAATTACATGCAGTCTTGAAATTTGCAATGTATGTTCCTCATCAATGGTGCAATTCATTTTAAAATAGTAACCATGCAAACATCACTAGTACATTCTGCACATCACAATGTTGAACAAATGCTTCAAAAATGGCTTAAACCACCTAATCTACTCTGATTCATTATATTTGTTTAGGTCATACTGAAATTCATATGTCCATATATGCAGCAGTCCTTTCATGTAGACATAAGGCCTGTAATTTATGAGCTGGAACCCCATGTTTTTATACAGACTCCTTGCAGCGTGATGAACTTCAGTAGTCAATAAAAATATGCTGTCATAGTTATGACTCATACAAAATTCAATACTGGTTGCGACGAGTTTCTTTGCAATGCCTAATCCTCTGTGTTTTTTAGATACCGCCATGCGCCTTAGCCACGCCACTCTTCTGTTGTCGTTTTTTGTGTTTTCTTTTTGAACAATAGCAATTGTCCCAACAACTTCACATCCATCCTTCACTGCAACCCAAAAATGCTCGTCTGGTCTTGAAAAATACACTTTTTGTACTTCTTTCATATCCCAGAGAGGTGGGCCCCATAAGTAATAAAGAACTCCGAGAAGCAGAAGTAAATAAAGTCCTAGGCATAGGATGGGTAACGTCAACGCTGTCAACAGAATTCTACCCGTGTAGCCGTACACTACAGCACATACAAACGAGAACAACCAGAACACGCTTGGTCTTTTTACTGCAATCAGGAAAGACGGCCAAAGATTTGTGAAACTGGCCTCAGCAAGAACGATTTTAGTTCCAGCTGCATACTCTGGTTTCCATGGTTCGATTTCTATTCCCATCTTAAGACTTTAAGCAGAATAATTATAGATACAACATACACAGTACATTACTATCAGTCATATTGCATTTTATTGACCTTGACCCATTCATATCTAATTGGTCAACTTCCTGTCATGCGCATTACATACGCTTACTTCATTTTCAAATATCAACTTTGAGTCAGCTTAGTTGGTTACTCACATCACTTGACAACTATTATAAAAAGATCTGACTTTTCATTTAAGCTTTAATTCCTAGACGTGCAACAATGGCAGATCCAAGAATCAAGCAGATTAAAATAAAAACCGGAGTCGTTAAAAGGTACTTCATACTTGCTAACTTGTATCCACCTACTAGTAATTGTGCTGTGTTCCCTGGCCCAGTAGCCTAGGGTAATGCTAGTAGAGAGGTCGATGATCAATAATACTGTTAATGGTAGCAGGTGTAAACTCAGCAACAGTCTGTTTAAGGCACTTAAAAGACAGCTATTTCTTAAAGTTGACTTCACTTCAGAACTGGTAATAATGTTTATGTCGTATAGCTCAACCTGAAATTTGCATAATTTTTTACCACCTGTATATGTTCAGGTAGGTACTGTTATGAGTTTTTCCCTATTTTTTTTTTAATTTTTAAGTTGGCATTCCGTGAAGACAAATCGACACAAGAGTATGAATTTATAGACAGCAAAGTTTTTAATGTGCACCAATTTTTTTTCTGAAGCCCAACAGAGAATGTATAAAAAGTAAAGCAAATACACTCAAGAACAAAAATTTGGTTAATTAATTTTATTACCTATACATATCATATGGGCTAGACCTATGTTTACATTTTTCAGACTTGCAAAGGAGAAGACTATGTATGAGAAGGAAGCAGTTCAACAAGAGGAAAAAATTGAAAAAATGAAAGCAGAAAATGCTGATGAGTATGACATAAAAAAACAAGTTAGTTTCTTATTTGTTTATTTCATCCTTTGTTTAGGATTTAATTTTTGAATAATATAGGCAATAGATCAAGTTAGTCATGGTTATTAACTCTGTACAGTCAATGTCTAGGGGATCTAAGGAGGTTAATTACTCAATCTTTTTAATGGGCAAAAATAGTCAAACTTTCAGATATAATTTTATGGTCATGAAATTATATTTCTATAGAGCATTTATGGTGCTTTTACTGCATTAAATAGAACCATAGAGCAGCCTGCTTTTGAAATTTTGTTGCTACCACTCAATAGGAATGTTCTAATTTTAAGAAATTATGACTTAAAAGATACAGCACTGTAAAATTCACAATTTCCCCCATTGAAAAGATCAAGTAATAACCACAGTTTCACTGTGAGATAGTTTGAACAAAAGACAATTTTTTGTCTGATTAAGATAAATTTTGTGATTAATAGCCATAATAAGACTTTAAATGCTCTAAAAATACCAATAAATTTAATAAGACTTAAAAATGCTATTAAAATCTCAAAAACTTCTTTAAAAGAAGCACTGATATTTGAGAACATGCATTAATGGTCCTGGTGGCCTGAGATGGTAGATATGAAACTGCCACTGGACCTCAAGGGGACAGCATTTAAAACACATTTAAAATCTGGTTCTTGGTATATTTTGCATCAGTTAAGTTCCACTGCCACCCACTATACTTTTGAGATGTAAGTGATCAGTCTGAGGTTTACCTTGTGTTGCACAGTTTAGCATAGACCTACCAGTAACCTGAATTTTCAGAACACTTTACCTGCCGTAAAAATTAGTTAATTATTCAAAGTTTTTCATAATATTTTTTTTCAGACTGAAGTTCTTCAAGAGTCTAAAATGATGATTCCAGACTGCTTAACACGATTAAAAAAGGCTCATGGCGAACTTGCAAACATGTTGGTGAGTTTCCTTTTTATTTAGTATAATTCTGATGATTGGAGATTATTTTCACAATAAAGTATTTTTTTGATTTAATCACAGCATATTATTTTATAATTTCTTATTTATCAGTTATTAAATGTATTTTTATGTAAGCCAAAAAAAAGGAGCATTCACAACAGCGGCCATTATGATGGATTATTATTATTATTTTTTTGATGATCTTGAAAAAAAGAAGAAGAAAAAAAAAAAGACACCTGCACCAGTGTCAAATTTACCATGTAACACAAACAGCACATTCAGAACAGATGATGCGCAGACTAAATATGGTTTTTCCCACATAAAAAGTAGCCAGTTATAATCCCCTGATGGTCTCCCCACCTCCAGACTCACTGTCCCTGCAGGGACCTAGAAATTTAGAGTGCATTCCCAGAGATTTAGATCAATCCATCTGGATCAACCTAACTCCCTGGGGGTTCACGCTAAATTGCAGTCAGCCGAGCGCGCACGACAGTTAATTACCCCCTAACAGCTTTTAGTAGGCGGGACAGAGGCTTAAGCCGGCTAAGCTGACAGTAAATCTAGTGAGACTCTCCACAGGGGTAGATCGATCTAAAATCTGTGGGAATGGGTTCTAAGCCTCAGAACCAAGATTTACTCAGTTTAATGGCACGTGTGGAGGTGGTGAGACCATTGTGGATTAAGTGGCTTCCTTTTATGATGGGTCAGCCATATTTAGTCTGCAGATCATCTGTTGTGAATACGCTCATACTTTGATTCTTTCAGGAGGTAGAAAAGGAACTCGCAGAAACTGAAGAATATGTAGCTGCCCAAGAAATCCTAACACAAACCGAAGAGGTTATGCAGAGTTGAACAGTGTGTGATTCATACATCGTGTATGAATAGAGATAACTGATGTTGATTTAGACTGTCAGGTGTGACATTTGGTTGGTTGACTCACAGTATCGGGGTCACAGCACTGTGATAATGTGGCAGATGTGTGTCAGTGTTATTTATAGCAATTATCAGCAGTGTTCTCTGTTTGGTTTCTTGTCCCTTTAGCCATAGCATTCCACCATGATCTCTGGATACAACTATTTAAACTATCATCATTTTGACAATGGTTTGAAAATTAGTTTCTTCATCAGACAGTTTTGTTCAAAGATTGCATATTTTATAAACATACTTCATCCCTAGAACTGTAAAAATTAGAAAGTTATGAATGTAAAAATTACTGTATTCATACTGAGTACACTGTTTTTAGTTTTTTTTTCTGTAATTTGACTCTCTACTTTGAAATGGTCACTATATTGCATTTTTTAAAAATTTCTTGCTTTAAATAAAATATTTAACCACAATAAAATTTTACATCTTTATTTTACAAGAAACTACATTTCAGTATTTCTTATTGCCTATTTAAGCATTTTTTTGTAGCAGAATTCATAAAAAAAATAAATGTGTATGTGTTGAATGCAAATGTTGACGCTTAAAAAATAATACAATTTTGTAACAAGTAAATATCACAATACAAAAACATAGCTTGATAAATGCTACATTTAGCAATACCACTAGAATATAACAAAAGATTAACTTCTGACTATTAAAATCTTGAACAAGATTTCGAATGAAATGGAATGTATTTTAAAGCTTAAAATATAGTTGATGGCAATAGCAAAAACATTACAAAGTTAACAGTACAAACTAAAAGGTGAATCTCAGAGATACATATACACTGTACTGAATGACTAGTGGGAAAAGATCGAGCATTTTCACATTGAGCGTTATATCTTAGCAGTTCAGCTGTACTATTATGCTCTGCTAGATCCTGCCTTGTATTTACTGTACATGTGGGCTCCATTTAGGGGACTCTCTTATCCAATAGACAGGCTCGTCTCAAAACACACCGACACAGCCCTGTCGTTAAGATATTACACTTGATGTGAAAACACCTTAAACCTCAAGTAATACAAAGCTGTATCAACACCCTGTCTAATTATTCTGTAAATGTAAGTTTGATACCGTGAGTGGGATTACAGTAATCTATGACTACCAGTAAGAATTTTTTCTGCAAAAGTGGGTACAAAATAACAAAAAATAGTTATTTCTCAAAAGCTTTTTATATATCACATTAATAATCTGAGCATGGTAATATACTTAACACAGCTATTAAATACAGCCATAACTTCATCCTTTTATGGACAGATTGCAAACACAAACTTTTGACTGCTGCCCAGTATCATTGCACCATTTCTTTACATGACTTTCAGGGTCAGAATTCCTGAGCAGTATTCTCTATGCCATACCTCAGTAAAAAGCTTCGGAGTTAAAATGATACAAAATTCAGCTTGCACAGCGTCTGATTAGCAGTCCCTTCCGTGTTCACTTTCTCAACAACATTTTAAACTTTTTTTCATGCTATGGAAATTTTTGATCTGAGCTTGTTCTCCTGTAACATTTGTTTAAGCAAATGAGCTTAAATGTTCAGTTATATCAAAAATCTGAAAAAGGTGATAAATTGGCAAATAATATTCCTGGTGTTAATATGCCAGAGTAATACCCGTTTATTTGGAAACGTGGTTTTAGTTTCGTGGTGCTTTGGGAGTCTTTGGTTTGCAGCTTCTCTTGTGAACCAGCAGCCTGTCTGGCAGAAAGGTGCGTCCACAGATATCACAAGGCACCAGGTTAGCTTGTGCACTCTCCCATGCTGCTTCATTCATTGCATCGATGTCATATGTTCCTTTACCTGGTAATTAGTCAAATAAAATATTCAGAGTGGGAATCGACTGACCATAGTTTCACAACTTGGCATAAAGCGAGATTTCCTGGAGTTTAGAGGGGAGTGGGGTCAAAATGATTTCATTATTAGCAACTTTTTTAACAGCCCATCATACCGAATATTTTTATTGATAGTTACACAACAACAACAACAACAACTTTTGGAAAAGGATTTAGCTTACAAATCTAAAAGGCCTCTAGTAAAGAGTTATTTAAAAAGAACTGTTTCACACAAATTCTGCTGTTTTATATATCATACTGCAAGATTTTTATGCTACCTGTGACTGGGCGGACTTCAGGTTTCTTCGGCACAGGCCTACGCAGATGCTTAGGGAGTTGGTTGTTCTCCATATGCCATTTCTGGAGGCACTGAGGTTCGTGGATAGAGATAGATTTGCTGCCATATTCACGGCCACAAATGTAGCAGATTACAGTGGGTGGCCGGCGCATTGCAGGGGGTTTTGATTTTGGTCTCTGCTCATAAAAAATATATATCTTTCACACATTGTGTAGTTATTCTTTCATGCCAATATCATAAATAAGAGACTAGTATGAGTTTTAAGGAAAGGAAAACATACCAAGTGACAAACACAGGCAAAAAAGGTAATAACAATTGTAACAATTAACAGAGGGCAAAAAAGAACAGAAACAACCATTTGATTTTCAAATATTTAGAGATCTATGAAAATGAAAACATCACTTTATGCATACTGGTACTTTAGAGATTTAATACAAAAGTAGAGTGCGAATTAACTCTCAAAAAGATTTACATACCTCTGAATTTTGTGTACTGCCTCTAGATGTCACTGGTCCCAATTTCGCAGTCTTCATGTGCACAGGTGTTCTTGACCCAGTTTTAGGTCGACATGCTCTTTGATGCACGGGGAGCCTATCCGGCTGAAATGTACGGCCACAGTTTTCACAGGGGACCAAATTGGATTGGGCACTTTTGTATGCTGCATCATTCATCTCTTCCCTGAAAAGAAAAAAGAAAGCATAATTTAAGTTATGATGAGCTACAAACTCAATTTGAATATTTTTCTCTTCAATTACCGTATATAACAGAATTAAAAAAAATAATTATGTCTAATTGTAAAAAAAAAAATTTTAAGTTTTAATAAAGATATTGTTTGTCATATATGTTTAAAAGCAATTCATTAATTCACCTGCCGATGGTTATCAGCAGACTTTGTGTACTTCCCTAAAACATCAACACTAACCTTGTTGCCCCTGCACTCCCTGCTTGTGGTTTCTGGGGTAATTGTTTCTTTTGGTTGTTAGGTAGTTTAGCATTTTCTCTCTTCCATTTTTCTAGACACTGTGGCTCATGAATAGGCAGAGACTTACTCCCAAACTCCCTACCACAGACATAGCAGATCAAAGTTTTAGGAGCTCTGGATGGTGAATTATCGCTATGGCCATTGGTTACTGTACTCGGCCCACCACCTCCACTAGATGGCTCTGCTGTAAAAGTAGCACCTCTGTCTAACCCATTCATGGGAGCTAAATTACGGTTTGCTCTGCCAGTGTTTTTATTTTGCCCTGTGCCTGCAGTGTTGGTCTTGGGTTTACATGATCTTTGATGAATCAATAATCTGTCAGGTTGAAATGTACGGCCACAATTGGGACATTCAGCTAAATTACTCTGTGCATTCTGCCTTGCTGCCTCATTTTGCTCATTCATATTACCTGAGGTACCAGGTTTTTGCGGCAAAGGTCTGCGTAGTTCTCTCGGTAACTTATCATTTTCTGCCTTCCACTTCTCTAAACACTGTGGCTCATGAATGCTTAAGGACTTCGAGCCAAACTCTCTGCCACAGATATAACACACTAAGGTCCTGGGCCCACCTCTATGTGGTCCTGTAGAGGGATCAGTGCCACCATCTCTGGGAACACCTGCTGACTTTGGTTGGTTGTCTCTTCTAGTTTGTTGTGTTCCATTATTCATTGTGAGTCTTTTTCCACCACCAGAAGTGTGGGAAAATTTATTCATGCCAGGAGGCGTTCCAGTAGAACTTGGGGATGATACAGTTTCTTCACCAAAACTATTGCCTTTTAAGATTTTAGGATTTTTTAAGGTGGATGTCCGTGGACGTTGCACATTCGAAGAACCCTGCACGCCAGACCCTGTAGGTTTCTGTGGTGGCCGTGGACTCAGACCCAGATGTCCCCCAGACTTGGGCCGAGGCTGACCAGTATCTTCAGGCCAGGTCTGTGACCTGCTGTGTGACGGGAGAGTGGAGCGAGGTTTCTGAGAATTTCCTGGCCTGCAGCTTCTCTGGTGAACTGGTAACCTGTCAGGAAGGAAAGTGCGACCACAGTTTTCACACTCTGCTAAATTATTCTGAGCACTCTGGTATGCTTGCTCATTAAACCTGTCGAGATCATAACCCTTGTTGCCATGTCCAATGGCAGGCAGAACTTGTGGTTTCTGGGGTGGTGGACGCCTTTGATGTTTGGGGAGTTGCTGGTTTTCCAAGTTCCATTTTTTCAGGCACTGAGGCTCATGTATTGAAATGGACCTGGTGCCAAACTCTCTACCACATATGTAGCATACCACTGCTGGTGGGCGACCACTCATCTTCTAAGTCTAGCAGAAGCACCACTCCGGCCACATATTTGCCTGAATGTTGGAAAAACATGCTTTCACATTCAATCAATCTATGCTAATTATGATATTGTCATAATATCAATATATATATATTCGCCTTACTTTACTCATTGTGTATCATTGTTAATTTTATGTGTTTAGGTGTTCAGAGCATTAAATTTGGATGTAATATCTTATATTTCATTTCATATGCTTGTAGCATGCATTTCACTTTGCTCTAGTTAAATGAGCGGTGAATGTGTATCTGAACTGTTTTTATGTTGTCAAGTCTTCATAATAGGATGGACAGATAAACAAAAAATCATCTCCTAAATTGTGAAAAATGAACAGTATCCATTATCACTCATCTGCATCTTACCTACCTTTATGCCCTGGGAGAGAGACAACCATAAAATGCCAAGAAAATGGCAAAAAAGAATGTATAAACTACTCCCTGGATACGACCCAGAAAAACTCCCCGCCACCGGAAGTACAAATATTAACGCCACTCTTCAGGGCTTGAAGGCAGAAATTGTGTTGAACGGGAAAAGAAACTGGAGAGAAGATGACACGAGCCCTGTTTACACTATGGCAAATTCGATAAAGACGCCGAAACTACGGGATTTTGTATTTACTGATAAGCTTGGTAGTGGTACTTATGCGACTGTGTATAAAGCATATAGAAAGGTAAGCAAAAAATATACAGATTAACTAATACATTAAACACATCGTCTGAACATCTTCCTTGAAAAGTACATGTTCAATATGTATATTCTAGATATCATTATGTTCAAGTTGAATTTGTGAGGTTAAGTGATTTGGTAGTAAACATGCTGTGGTTTTTAACGCAAAGATACACTGGACTGCTTCACTCTTTTACGTGTCAATTTTTTTCTAGGGAGGACCCAGAGAAGTAGTTGCAATCAAATGTATACAAAAAGACGGACTCAATAGATTATCAACTGAGAACTTGCTTGTTGAAATAGAACTTCTCAAGAAATTGAAACATGAGTATATTGTGGAACTCAAAGATTTCTTGGTGAGAAAGCATATCCTGATATCTGACTTCTAGTATTGCAATATTGATATTTGCAGTAACACGTATTAAAGAAAATGTATAAATAGTATTTTATTTTATTTGTCATCTAGCCTTATGCTGGATTAATTTATTTAAGTTTTAATTTTTTGCATTAATATATTTTTATGTGGTTTTTAACCATTACATGATAAATTGAATTTAAGTAACACAAAAGCGATTGATGTCATCATTTCAGACTTTGCATAGAAAACATACCAGTACTTGGATGCAGCCTTTAAAATTAATGAATAAGTTCAAAATGCACATTAATTGTAAAGTATTCTTCATACCAATAATTACTGGTAGCATCCTTCCTTAAAAGATTTTAATAACTCTTTTTATAAATATATCTTTTTAAACTATTTATTTATATATTGATATTTAGATTGAAATTTCTAGTACCCACATCTTTTTTTCCAGAAGAAATTGATCTGAAGTAAATTTTGTTTTATTTCTAGTGGGATGACAGTTATATCTATCTTATCATGGAGTACTGCAGTGGTGGAGATCTTCTGGGGTTCATTCAAAGCAGAAGAGCTTTACCAGAAAATATTGTCAGAAAATTTCTTAGGCAAATAGGTAAAAGTCATTAAAAGACTATAAAATTCTTATATTGTATTTAAATTTGTAGATTTAGTGATGTAAATAATATATTAAGAGAACGTTTTTATGCTTATTCATTTTTAGGATTGTCTTTTTTATATTTTCAGCAAAAGCACTTCAGTATATGCGTGAAAATGAGGTCTCTCATATGGATCTTAAGCCTCAAAATTTGCTGCTGTCTTCAAGTCTTAATCCAGTTCTCAAGATTGGTGGTAGGTAGATTTGTACAAAGAAACTGAAAACTTGATAAGACATATGCGTTTTTACCTTAAATATTTCTAAAATATTTACCTTTGCCCACAGTGTCACACATAGTCATGAGCAAACCATATTTCCAATTCATCTGACCTCTTTCATATTGATTACTTGTACTTACTATTTTATTTCTTCACATTTATTTGAATAAATTATTACTACTAATTTAAATATTGTAGATTTTGGCTTTGCAAGGTATTTACAAGGTGATGTGGAAGGTGACATGCTCAGAGGAACTCCATTGTACATGGCCCCAGAGGTTGTTTGTAAGCGTCAGTATGATCCCAAGGCAGACTTATGGTCTGTTGGAGTTATCCTTTATGGTAGGTTTTATGTCTGAAGGTTAATTTTTGTGTAAAGGCACTGTATTTGTCTACATGTATTATTGATCACTGTGTCTGTTTGTGTCATAAACACACCAGTTGCTCACCCTTACAAATCATATTTTTGTTTTACTGCAAGTTTGCTGAGAAGGTTAGTTTGGTAAACAGACAGGTTCCTTTTTGAAAATCAGTATGATTGATTTATTCTTATGTTAGTTACTGATTTTTTAATGAGTTCCACAAGTGCCAAACCTTATTTTTGTATTACTTCAAGTTTGATGAGTGGCTTTGTTCGAAAAAAAAATGCAGGTTCCTTTTAAAAATGAACATGATCTGATAATTCTTTTAGCAAAGAATTATATATATATATATTTATATTTATATATTTGTGTGTGTGTCTTAGCAATATTTTTTTTTGTTCAGTGTCTGTGTATTTGCCAGCTTACTTGTCTAGTTTCTTTCCTTGTTATTGGTACCAGTAATTTTTTACACTCCTATTTGTTTAGAAAATATTGAGATTATCAAATAAGTTTTACTTATTATCATTAGTGATTCATTACCTGATATTTACTTCTTAATACCCTTTTTTACAGTTTTGTTTTTANCGGCACACAAATCAGAAACAGCTGACTCCCAGGAGTAAACAAGAACTGGGTAAGCTTCACCTGATACATAAACATCTAAATTTTTTACTTTTAATTACTGTTTATTACAATTTAGTTTAGCTCCTATTTATATAAAATATATCTTAACCATTTTTGATTATAAACTTCTTTGTATTTTATGTTGTACAGTCTATTGAACATTTTATGGATTTTAGACTTGAAATAAATATATTATATTATTATTATTAAATTTAAGAAAAATTTTTATTTGGTTTGCCATGTAAGAAGACATAATTGAACTGGGAGCTCATTTTGTGAAACTGAAATTTAACCATTCTCTTTACTGTAAACATCTTCTAAACATGTGTAAATTCAAATGAAAAAGCACTTGAAAAGTATAGCAAAGTTCCTTGGGCATCTGTCTCACTCTCTCTTTAAAAGCAGATGGGTTCTTTCACTTTCAACATTTGGATATGAATTGGCATTCATTATGCCATGTAGTATATGTATTAGTTTCAGAATGTTTCAATGCAGTCTTTCCTTTCCATTTTTAGAAACTTTTGCAGCAGAAGATGAAACATTAAAGGCAGCTTTAACAATGATTGAAGTAGCTGAATACAAAGTAAGTTCCTGAAATATTGGTAGTATGAGCAGTATGTTTATAGTTTCTGCAGGAAAATTTGAATAACTGTTAGAAATTTTTAAAAAGGTCAGAATGTCACATGCTTGCTTAAAGATAATTGAATGATAATTCAGTTTGAATGGTTAGGACAGAGGCAGTTATTTAAATAACTAAAAAACTTTAGAAATAAGAAATTAAACCTGACATTGTGTGCTTTGTAAAATCTTTCAGGATGATTATGAAAAATACGAAGAAGCACTTGCAAAGTATGAAATGGCACTAGGAGTACTAATAAAACTGTTACAAGGTTTGTATTAAACAAAACCAGCACTGAAATAAGATGTTATTATTCATAAAATATTCTCATATATATCCTTACCAAAGTTTTTCTTTCTCCTATTCTGTTGTTAATAATGTGTTAGGTGTGACTTAACTTTTTACATCTAGCACATTAGTTATCTTGTGTTTTGACGTGTCATCAGTGTACTAAAATTTCATGATATCATTTTAAGTATAAGTATTTATTATTAAGATTATATTTTTCTCACCAGATGAAGCAAATGAAAGGAAGAAGGAACTGTTATCAAAACATGTATGTTAAATGTATTTTCTTGCAATTTCTACTGCGTTAAGTGATCTTTAATCCATGTATGTCATATGCTTATTAACTTTTTTATTCACTTAAAAAAAAAGTGTCATCTCATTTAAAATGGCTTAATAATGACATACAACATCAACAGCACCTTAAGATTTTGCATAATAACATGTATCCTATTGTTTGGAACATTGTACAATCACTTGATACTTATCCAAATATCAGATTTGATGAAAAAAGTACAAATGTTGTGTACATGTTTTTGCTTCTATATTTAGAGTTGCACCTTAATTATTAGCACCACCCCTCCACATTAAAAAATGAACTTTTTATTCAATGTCTGTATGTATCTTTCAGGTCAGTGTCTGGATGACAAAAGCAGAAACCATAAAGAATTACCTAAAAGTTAAACAATTAAAGACACGAGACACTTCAGAACAAGAAGAGGAAGAAGACCAGCGACTTTCAGGTAATATCAGTGACATTTTCAGGTATTACATTGGCGTTGATCTTTCTATTTTTGGCCATCTTTCCTCCACGCCTCATAGAGTTATTGCAGAGCTGACTAATGATCAAAGGAAAGGGAAAGGAATGACTTGATGTAACCTGTCTCCATTTTTCACATACATGAATGATTTATTCTTGAAATTGACGTAACTGATGACCCAAAACCAGTTTCATAAAGTCTGCATTAGCTTGTGATTGTCTTTTCAGTGTTTGCTAAGGGTAATGCATTTGAAATGGAAATTAAAAAAAAAAACTCTTATGAAAAGTGGAAAGCTAGTGAAGGTTTCTTGAAATGGGCCCCAGACTGATTAATGAAGTCTGAGATGGGATAAGGTGTCTACACTTTCTGTTTGTCTGGTGATGTCAAATCTCAGTTTATTCAATTGCCAGTCTAAGTTAATCTTTCAAATACAATTTGACCTTCACTTCATGCAGGTCAATTGTGTCAGGTTGTACAGGAAATAAGGCTTGTCTTAACAGGATTTTTGGGAATTAAGGTGAATTGTAATTAGATAACTTCTGGACTCGAGTGTTTTTTCTTTTTAAATGAAGCAACAACTGAACATGTTTAACGTGATCAGATAATTTGATGAGAGAAAACTGTATTAACTTTACAGTCATGAACCATTTTCCTGTTCATCCATTTAGACATTTTCACTACCTATACCTAAGTTGATGTAGGACAGTGCTGCCACTTACATGCAATAAGTCTACAAAGCAAGATCAAAGTCTACTAAAATAAAAGGGTGCACATTCACACAGCACTGTCCAGAATATTTTTATCCTGGTTTTGCTGTCAAAAAAGGCCACATTTGAAGATGGGTCAAAGTTGATACTGATGTGAACAGAAGGTCAAAGTTAACACTGACATGAACAGGACTGTGGTGTGCACCATTCTATTAGCAGATGCCTGTATGCAGGTGTGACCAAATGATAGTTGATAGGTCCATCTATCACACTAAACACTGTGATCATTACACACTGACACCTGCTTCTCCCTCACCTGACATCACTTACCCACACTGGACTATTTAGACATATTTGAACAAGGTGAACATTATTATATAGCACCTAGGTATTTTGTGGACCAGTCACATTTATTATGTCATATAACTGTTCTTCGGATTAATGGGGTAGTTGATGGGTGTTGTACTTATAGGTGGATAACATAAGAGGTTTTGGGTTATGTAAGAGTGGTGGTGTCCAGCTGTATGTCTTACATGGATCTGGTTTCTTCATCACTTGGAAATAGTTTTGTTCCATGATAGTTGTATTGTATGAGAAACCTTTGTCATTGTGTTCCTCTTAACATTGAGCTGTGTCCCCCTTGTATAAGACGACCTGTGTATATCAGTAGTAAAGTACTGCCTTCATTACGTATCACACACAGTGTGGATACTCATTGTATGTTTTGATAATTCAAACTTATATTTCTACAGCCTCTCATCTGTAATTTTTTTACTAGTTATTTACTGTGTGTATCAATTATTTTCAGGTCACAGCTGCAATATCCAGTAAAAGGTTCATTGCTGAACTTGGAAAGAAAGAAAATTAATTACCAATAGAAAGTGCCAAAAATGAGGATCCAAGCAAATTTTGAATTGGAAGAAAATATAGAAAAATATTAAACAAACAGCTTGAAAGATAAAGAAAACGCATTTTTTTCACTAAAATGATGTTGGTGGTTTATCTTTGGAAGGCAAAGATATCTGGTCACATCACTGGTGTCGAAGTGAACTGATATGGAACAGTAAACTGGTAAGCTCCTTGTGCGCAGCAGCCTGGTAAAGCAAAAATGCAGATGCTCTGCTTGAATGTCTAAAGTGAACCCATTTGGTGTGTTGAACATTCGGGGCACCAATCTGTGCAATGTATTTAACTTAACTGAGATTTAGAAGCAGGTTGATACTGGGATATCTTCAGATGTATGTATATAAGAGGGATGCCCCATGTATAAACTGCTGACAATCAAGTCACTTTCGATATTGTGTTACAAACAAAGGAGAAGAGATGAATGTGAAACTGAAGTATCTTAATATAATTGTTGGTAAAGATTTGAATTATTTGGTGCTAATTGTTAATAAGTATGGTTTGGAGATGGGGAGGATTTACTCTGGGTATTATGTTCTTTTATGATGGTTAACTGTATTGTAAGGATATGGATCTGCTAATGCTGTAGATTTTGACCTTATGTTTAAATACTGTCCCTTTTTTTTTACCACTCAGAAACATAAATTAATGCCAACGAGCAATCTGTGAATATGTTTAGTTTTGTGATATGGTTAACATCAGTCATTAAAATGGATGAGAAAAGAATTTTTCAGTGTACACTGTGGATGAAATTAAACAATTATAACCATGATAAACAAAAAAATTGGAATGACTTTTGTATTGTAATATAGTGCTGAAAGATGTAAATCAAGCTCGAGTCTTTGCAGTTGACCCAGAAATGAAAAAGTTGTTACATTTTACAAAAATTATGACTTGTCTTCTGGAAGGCACATTGAGATTCACCTGGGTAAAGCTGTTTTATTTTGGTCAATAAATGTTTTATGTTTTTAAAATTGTTCTTGTACATGTATTTCCTATACATAAAAAGATTTGTGGTGTTAATGTACTGAGACTTATGTTTGGAAGGTAAAACAATGTTCAGCAATTACTTTTATGCCAGATAATTATACGTTTATTGCCAAAGCAAATATTTTCTAACTGTAGACCAACAAATGCCCCCAAAATGTATTTTTGCAGACTACCTCAGCAGCATGTTATCATGACCCCTTGGAATGATGTATGGGTGTCAGTTACAAGTAAAACAAACAAGTAATTATCACCCAATTAATGCAGACAAGCCTAAAGGAATTATCCTTAATCTTGTTTACATATCAATTCGCAGTAGGTGCTGCACGCTGTTGCTCTTTTTCAGCTGTCAATCAAGGCGTTTGTGGCAGGGGGTAAACTCCTCCCTCTTTTCCATGTAATTAATGAAGTCTCACTGTCAATCATCTTGAGGTGGCAGTTTATAAGAACTCCTACTAGGTGATTATTAGTCTTATGGTCTTGCATTTGTGAAACCACTAACACTAGAAGGATCGCCTATGATATTTCTCCACCAGGTGGTTGCTAGTCCATAACTTGCAAATTTCGTAAAAAGGAAAATTTCCATGGGCATACCATCTGTCTTTGTGGATTGCAGGCTTATGGTGTATGGATTAAAATTATGTACTGCTGTTTTCTACTAGAACATGTTTTTGTTTGTGACTTGTATTTAACAGAAACATGCTCTTGATTTGTTGTAAAAAAAAATAATGCAGTATACGATGAAAAAACACTAGCAATAAAACAATACGAGAAAAAATACAAAAAAGGGTAACTTTTTGGAAGCTATTACCTACAAATGTATAAAAATGATAAGTAAAGGGAAAGATAAAAGAACTTTTTATAAGCACAATTATTACATTATTGAGTAAAACAAGTTAACCCTGTGAGATGTGTTCAGTGTGATACAGCATTCCATTCAGGAAGAACAGAGATTGAGAAGATCTGTAATGTTTACTTAATATGCTCTTTATCAGCAAAATAATGAACTGCTGATAAGCTGTTAGTTTTGACTGTGCATTCATTCACCCCAATTTTTGAAGTTACAGATTGAACAAGCAACCCATGTAGTTCAGTCTCAAGATAAAGTCAGATGTCAGTCTGCAAATGACAGGCCCGTGACGTACCTGACATTTAAAATGACACTGGCAGCTAACCATGCAATGTTGACACTGGCAAAGGTCCAGTTACACTATCACACTACCCCTACCAGACCTTACTGCAGCTCTTGTTCAACCCTTATGATAATGTTTTTCTTTGTGTAAGCAATTTTCCAAACACTGTGTGCTTTCAATTTCCTTGTCTGTTGCCAAACCCGATGCACACATTACAGAAAGTAATTTTGTAACCTACCCATCCAGGACCACTTGTTTTTGTTGAGAACATTCCTCTGGCGAGGGGTAATAACTATAATATGGTTCAGAAAGCTAAGCCCTATTGTTCCGTCCCATCCCGAGAGCCAATATTGCCGTACACAGTGATATGTTGACATTTAAGTCAGGATAATGATAAGAATCCTCGAGGCGAAAGATCATCAACTGAAAGTTCTAACAAGGTACATTTACATAGGAATCTTATGTACTGAAGTGAGCAAAATTTTCGTGTTTTAGGCTTGTATCAGTTTGCTTTTGCCATGTAATTGTTCTTTGTGTGTTTTAACATCCAAACTTGAAATGAGGTAATGCAGTCTCTCTGTTCATTTTCTCTTCATTAACACTAAACAGTCTGGTCTGATTCTGGTTTTAAGCATAGCTGTGTCATTTAAACAAGTGTAAACTGGTCAAAAGCTGAGCCAATAGAGAAGAAAATACTACAACCTCGTCTTTGTACATCAGTAGAAGACAGCTGTCAGCTTGAGACAACAGCATGGAAAATAAAAGTACAAAAAACAACCAAGAATGTGTTTAAATATGCAGCTTTAACTGATAAAATATTAAACAATTAGATTTAAAATGTTAACAAACAGATATAGAATACAGCACATAACTTAAATGAAAACCGACTGAAAGAAATCTAAACAAAAGAGAATTGTCTGACAAATACGGAAAGAGTTATGTTTCAAATTAAAAACAATGTGGGCTTACTTTATTAAATTCACTGTATCCTGGAGAAAAAAGATATATATATATCTTATAAACCCTGCTAAAGCTTAAAGGTGAAATTCAGCATTTTGATTATTATTCTGTATATGTATGTACTCATTTAAAAAATGTCCCACAAAGACATGGCCCCTCTGAGGCTGTTTTATTAACTGATATACTAAACTCTACATGAACACTAACTACACTGACCCATCCTAACTTTGACACATCGACCAAAATCACATCTTTGTCAAAATTGATGTCAATGTAAGGAATTAGAACCTACAAGTCCTTTTTATTTAGCAATTCACACACCCTTGAAATAATATAACTTCCCCAACATATAGCCTTTAACCTAATGATGTCAACTTAAAACCCACATCCAGGACATGATGGACAGTCGGAGACCCTTAACAAATGGGTCATTTTGAGACTATGAAATCTCATGTCGATATTTTGCACATTCACTTGGATTTTCTGGAATTTGTTGCCATTTTTTAGATTCTATAAATATCCCCCAATGATTAGAAGGCAATGCACACCAGGCTTGCCTCAAAATAAACATCCAATGTAACAGACTTGTTATTTTTTAAACTTTTTTCGTTTCTATTTTTGTATTCTCATTCGAGTCCTGTAACTTAATCAACTCCAACAATTTCTGCCCCACCCAGCCGTATCTAGAATGTCTGAGAAGAGAAGATTATAATACTGAGAAGATATTTTTTGGCAGCTACATGCTGAACCAGCCTCACTATGTAGTGTATATATAGAGAAGGATAAGTTTCATCCATGTAAGCTGTCTGGCTGCCATGCTGGGTTATTCAAATAGAAGTTATTATGGTATCATGGGAAGAAGAACTAGCTGGAAATTTTTGACATGGGTTTCAACAGATGAAACCCAGTCTGCTGGTAGAAGGCTCAAATTCCTCATTATCCATATTTCTGGGCACAGTGCACTGAACACAGAGAGGGTAGCTGCCATGCATTGTGAACATATCAAAAAGAGGGATATTTGAGAAAAGTAGTCATGCTGTCTCTGAAAGGGAATCAAGATAAAGGCATATTTTGCACCAAATGGTGCTCCCTGTACTACCCTGGAAATCCCTTGTTAAAGGAGTCAAAGTGTGAATAGCATTGCACACCAGGCTTCGGATTTTTAACAAGTTTTGCAGGGTTCAAAATCAGCTCCTTCATGTGGAATTGCTGCATACCTCTCGTTTTAGACCCTGAAAAATACCTCAGCACTCTGGCTCTGATTTATTCATTTTCTTCCCAGTGTGGAACTTGGTAATGGAAGGTGGTCTGTGAATAAACTTTTGCGCTGAATTTCACCCAAACCAGCTGAGTCAGTGTTTGTTGTATTAAAACCAGTAGCAGCTACTCTCTCTGATCTCCGAGCTGTTTTTGGAATCAGTTAAAATATGTCAAATTTCGGCTTTCTCCTCAAACTGCCTGTGCCTTCATTTATCAGACTTCTGCCCTTTTGAGTGGAAAACAGATTTATGAGAGCAAATAAGATTAAGCTTATTTAAGCAGCATTGAAAATTAGTTTCTTGATACCCAGGGGGCATATTGTTGCACAATTAAGTCAATTTTCCTGACCAAATACACATTTATTTTCCAGTATAAATATTTCATTAAGAAGATGTAAGTGCCAAAATACACCATTAAATGTTAGAAGCCCACTGACCAGTCATTTCAAAGTTTGATAGTTAGAATGAGTGCAAACCTGTCGATGTGTTTTCTCTTTGAAGAACACTTCCATGTAACACTGGAACAAATTGTTAAGCCTTGTTTTATTCTAATTTTATCACCAGATCATTTACTTATGTCTTCATGAAACAATGTTGCAAATTTAAATTTTATCTAACAGAATAGTACTTGTAATACTATTTAGAGCACTTTTGCATAAGACTCAAACGCCTTAGTCATTTTCAACAACCCCATTTTAGCCATCTTACCACTTACTACAAT